CTTTGGACGAGATCAGGGTGATGTCCAGTCCAGATCGCGATATGCAGAGTCCAGCGAGAGCCATGCTGAATTAGGAAGATGAGGTTTGAAAAGAGAGGATATACGTGGCGAAGATAGAGAATAAGCGAACCGTCATTTTTAAACAGAATTTACACCCAACAAGTTGATGATTGAGCTCGCCAGATGATGGTTAACTGCTAAGCGCCAAGCCCTGGGAAGACGCCAGACATATTTCGTCGGACTTTCGGATTGATTCGATGATTGAGAGATTACACGGTTTCAATGGCGTTGGTAATAGTTTTCTTCATCGACGACCATGGCAGGCGAGCGCCTTCAGAGGGTGGTTAACCGCCTGCAAAATTTACCCACCATCTCGCTTCCAACAGACTATCCGCGACCAACAGGCGCCAACAAGCTAATTGAGTCGGTGCATTTGGCTCAGCTCTCGGAACAAACATCCCTTAGTCTCCTCAAGCTTGTTCTGTACCAAGAGGACGAAGAACTGGACGAAGATGAAAGCGAGCAAAAAGACAACAGACCGTCGGCTTTCCATCTACTTCTTGCTGCATTTACAGTCCTTCTCCACCGATATACAGGCGATAATGATATCGTGATTGGGTCCTCTTCAGCAGCTGCGCATGAACCACTCATCCTGCGGCTTGGTGTCGACCCCACAGATCCATTTTGGGCCATCGTGAAGCGAGTTCAACAGGTAGAGAAGGAGGCCGATACAGACCTTGTTCCATACGATGAGATCGCCCGTGAGTTGCAAAAGGGCAAAGAGGAAGGCCTAGAAGAACCTCTCTTCCGTGTTCGTTTTTTCGACGAATCCGATGAACCAACGGAACAGTTTATTCGGGGTACAAGTGTTACCACGGATTTGACGGTCTTTGTAACACGACCACCAGCATCCACGAGAGCGGCCCTGGCGCCAAGCATTTCCCTTCGTATCATCTACAACTCTCTTCTATTCACCGCATCTCGCATCTCAGTAATCATCGAACAACTCTCTGTCCTCCTTCGCAAAGTTTCTTCAAATCCTCTTGCACCAGTTGGATCTGTGCCTCTTCTAACCCCTTCCCAGAAAACCAAACTTCCAGACCCGACAGCGGACCTTGACTGGTGTGGATGGAAGGGTTCAATCACCGACATTTTTTCCCGGAATGCCCGCGCAAATCCTGGCCGACCTTGTGTCGTGCAATGCCTCTCGAGCGAGACAACCTCAGCCCAGCAAAAAGTTGTGTTTTCATACGGATCGATTCTGAAGGCCTCCAACACACTCGCACACCACCTGATTAAAGGTGGCATTCAACGCGAGGATGTAGTCATGATTTACGCGCATCGAAGCGTTGACCTTGTTGTCGCAGTCATGGCTACCCTCAAGGCGGGCGCAACGTTCAGCGTGATAGGTTCGTACATTGTTCAATTCACGAACTCTTGACTCCAACTTCGATCTCCCAGATCCTGCTTATCCGCCTTCTCGACAAATTGTTTACCTTCGAGTGGCCCAGCCTCGGGGTCTTGTGGTTTTGAAAGGCGCTGGTACTATTGGACCTTCTGTTCGAGAGTTCCTGACGGAGGAGCTGCAAATCAAGGTGGAGGTACCGGCTCTGGAGGTGATATCAAATGGTGCCATCGTGGGCGGCATCGAAGGTCCAGATGGTGACCTGCTAAAGAGTAACGGCCACCTAGGAGAGATGGACCCAAATGTCAGCTTGGGCCCGGACAGTGTTGGTACCCTCTCATTCACGAGCGGCAGCACGGGAATACCAAAAGGTGTTCGAGGTCGCCACTTTAGCTTGACCCATTTCTTCCCATGGATGGCAGAGAGGTTCGGACTAAGTGACAAGTCAAAGTTTACGATGTTGAGCGGTATTGCTCACGATCCAATTCAAAGAGATAGTGAGTTGGTCATTCTTTCCGATTGTAATTCTTGTTTCTGACTTTCGGACAGTGTTTACTCCTTTATTCCTTGGTGCGGAGCTTCATGTCCCAACAGCCGAAGACATTGGTACCCCTGGTCGATTGGCGGAATGGATGGCCGAATCAGAGGTCACCGTCACCCATCTCACTCCAGCCATGGGTCAGCTACTTTCGGCCCAAGCTACCCGTCAAATTACAAGTCTTCAGAGTGCTTTCTTTGTCGGCGACGTGCTAACCAAGCGAGACTGTCTTCGGCTCCAAGCTTTAGCCACCAACGTCTGCATCATCAACATGTACGGAACAACAGAAACGCAGCGAGCGGTGTCTTACTTCGCCATTCCCCCTGTCTCCACGGATTCAACTTTCCTGGCGACGCAGAAAGACATCATGCCAGCGGGCGAAGGGATGATCGACGTTCAACTGCTAGTAGTTAACCGAAATGACCGCAACGTTCCATGCGCTATCGGCGAAGTGGGAGAAATCTACGTCAGGAGTGGTGGGTTAGCGGAGAGCTACTTAGATCAAGACGCCAGCAAAGAGAAATTTGTCGAGAACTGGTTTTGCACAAACAGTCCTCCCCGAAAAGATACGATCCTCCACCCTACTCAAGGTTTTGCTGGGCCAGAATCGTTCTTTTGGAAGGGCATTCGAGATAGGATGTACCGTTCTGGAGACTTGGGACGGTACTTGCCACATGGTATTGTCGAATGTACCGGCCGAGCGGACGATCAAGTCAAGATTAGAGGATTCCGCATCGAACTTGGAGAAATTGATACCCACCTGAGCCAACATCCATTGGTGCGGGAAAATGTAACGCTTGTACGCAGAGATAAAGACGAGGAGAAGATTCTCGTCAGCTATTTCGTCCCTCTCGAAGGCCCGAATCTCGACCAGTACGCGAGTGAAGCAGGTGATGATGAAGATGAGCCCAAGGGCCTGGTGCAAGGGATGAGAAAGTATCGACAGTTGATCAAGGACATCAGAGAGCATCTCAAAAAGAAACTACCCAGTTATAGTGTCCCAACTCGTAAGTTTAGTCATGTAAATTTTAAACCATCTCATAACGCCGCTCCTAGTTTTTGTTCCCCTCAGCCGCATGCCTCTCAACCCGAATGGCAAGATTGACAAACCAGCTCTTCCTTTTCCTGATACTGCCCAAGCGACATACGCCGCCCCTCAGATTACTACAAACCCAACTGAACAAACATTGCAAGGACTGTGGGCCAGCATTCTTCCCAACGCACCTCAACTTATTCCCGTGGACGAAAGTTTCTTCGATCTTGGTGGTCATTCCATCTTGGCCACTCGCCTCATCTTCGAAATCCGCAAGGTCTTCGTGGTCGAGGCTCCTCTTGGCTTACTCTTCGAACGCCCAACCCTTTCTGGACTCGCTCAAGCAATCGACACCTTACGAAGCACTGACTTGGGGATTGCCTTTGGAGGGCAACAACTACCAATGAGTCCTAGACCCGGTGCAGCAATGCCAAAAGCGATTACACCTTCTATGGAATACGGGCAGGATTTCGCGCAGCTGGTCGAGAAGCTTGCGCTTTCCTACCCATCTCCACCTCCGGATTTTAAAGAGGCACCTATCACTGTCTTCCTAACTGGCGCAACCGGTTTCTTGGGGGCGTTTGTGTTGCGGGACTTGTTGGCAAGGGAGCCGCGAGTGAAGAAAGTCATCTGTCTCGTTCGGGGTAAAACGCTTGACCAAGCCGTTGCGAGGTTGAAAGAGGGTTCTTCTGATAGAGGGGTTTGGAAAGAGGAATGGATCCAGAGTGGTAGATTGGAGGTAGTCACTGGAGACTTGGGTCTCGATAAGTTTGGCTTGAGCGAAGATAGATGGCACAAAGCCACGAAGGAGACTGATGTTGTCCTTCACAACGGCGCTCTAGTTCACTGGGTGTTTCCTTACGAAAAACTCCGCGCCGCCAATGTTCTATCAACGCTAACAGCTATCGACTTCGCTGCGACCGGAAAGCCCAAGTCTTTGGTTTTCGTATCATCGACATCGGCCATAGATACAGATTATTATGTCAAACTCGCAGAATCGTCACGGTGGATTTCAAACTTACGCGGTATACCCGAAAACGATGACCTTGAAGGTGCAAGAACGACCCTGAAGACTGGTTATGGACAAACCAAGTGGGTTTCCGAGAAACTCCTCATGGAAGCCGGAAAGCGAGGGTTGAATGGTCATATAGTACGCCCCGGTTATGTCGTTGGTGACTCCCTCACAGCTGGTATGTGCTGCTGATTATCACCGTACCTCCAAATAGCTTAATTTTTACCTCCCTTAGTAACTAACACCGACGACTTCATATGGAGACTTGTCAAAGGTTGCATTCAGCTTGGGCAAGTACCGGATATCAACAACACTATCAACATGGTACCAGTTGATCATGTTGCTCGGTGTACGGCGCTAGCTGCAGTTTCCCCTCTACCAGACGCTTCTCTTTCTGTTCTTCACATCACCGCCAATCCTCTCCCTACGTTCAACGGCATGCTCTCGGTCCTGTCTCAGTATGGTTACTCAACTGAACCATGCGAGTACGTCGTATGGCGACGCAAGCTTGAGCAGCATGTCCTTGAGGTGCAAGACAACGCACTTTTCCCCCTCCTTCATTTTGTTCTTGATGATCTACCAACAAGTACCAAAGCGCCTAATCTGGACAACTCCAATACCACACGGCTGCTTCTGCAGGAACAAAATACGCCTACTTCTACTGTTGATGACCCGCTGATGGGTTTGTACATATCGTGGCTAGTTGCCGCCGATTTCTTGCCTCCGCCGACCTCCCCAGCTCCTTTGAAAGATTTACCGACTCTCGCCACCTCTGGCGCCGTCAAGGCAGCCGGCCGAACTGGCCTCTAACTAGAACATGATGTATAGTCCACCTGTAATGTTTATTTGGAGTTCAATGGATGTGGTAGGATTCACTTCCGCTTTCACCAGAATTGGAAGCTTCTTTTTGATCGAGAGTCCTCTTCTAATTTGTGTAGGTACTTCAATTGGTCCTGAGGCTACTGTAAAGCTTGGATATTCTATATTTACATTTGACATGCTAATGAACATGTCCTTCTTAGCTCAGTTGGTAGAGCGCGTCACTAGTAATCTTGCAATTATGTGATGACGAGGTCAATCGTTCGAGTCGGTTAGAAGGAAATTTGTTTTACATCTTTTATCTATCTATTCGACGAAGAACGGTCGCAAATTCGTCTGAGGATTGTCGAATCAAAGCGCCCAGAGGGAAGTACCCGTTTTGGTACCGTGAGAGAGTATCGGAATATTCCGCTCGATCGCGTCTCCTCAGATTGAACTCAGCAAAGTTCGTGGATTGCTCGTGGACCAATACATTGCCAATTAAAAGGGAGAGAAATTTGCGCATGGATGCCGTACGATATGCAGCAGTATGTAACCAAGTTTTCAGTACTATTCAAACGCTAACCCATCCCTCGTGCAGCCTAACCAACTGGACATTGTCAACGTTCCGATTCCTGAAATCCAAGAAGATCAAGTCCTAATCAAAGGTCTATCGTGACATACTATGCAACATCGCTTGACACTAATCGCCGCACGGTGTTTTAGTGACTTGCTGTGGCATTTGCGGCACAGATCGACATCTAGCCGAGGCGAGAAATTAGCCTAATTAGTTTACCTAATGAGCTCATCATTGATATAGGGCGAATTCATTGGGAAATTTCCAGTTGGTATTTTTCGAGGCGTATTCCAAGTAAAGCTGTTGGTAACATTGTTACATAGCTTATTCCAGGGCATGAGATTGTTGGGATTATCTCTCAAATTGGGAGTAGCGTAAAAGGCCTTATAATCGGCGACCGCTGTGTGGCAGACAATACAATTTTGGTATGTTGGGCTTTCTTAGCGTATTCTCACCAAATAGTCTGTTCATTTTCAGTGGATGACCTTGTGATCAGTGCGACTCATGTTACTACTGTCGTCGTGGACAATATCTTCTATGCAGTAATTTCGATAGTCTGGGGGTTACGAAGGCCGGAGGATTTGCTGGCTTCGTTGCTGTGTAAGTATGCTTCGTCCATATGCGCCCTCCCATGCATCACCTCGTACTACTTTTGGTTGTATCCGCATTGGGCCATGAATTTTCATGCACACTTCTATCTTATTCGGGGTACATATAACAATCCGTTGACGATGTGATAGGCATAGCAAGAAGGTGTTCAAAATCAACAATCTGACTGACGAGGAAGCAACCCTCGTGGAACCGGCCGCTTGCGCAATCCATGGTATGGACCGACTTAGGCCTTCTGTCGGAGTCGAAGCCATAATTTTTGGGGCTGGTCCTACAGGTGAGCTTATCTCTTCAAGGATTCTGAGATTTCACTTGAAATCTTGCGAAACCCAGGTATCATTTTAGCACAGCTGCTCAAAATCAATGGTGCTTCCAAGGTTGTGATTGTCGCAAACAAAGGTGTGAAAACAAAGATTGCACGCGATCTAGAAGCTGGTGATGAGTACATCGAGCTGGATAGAGAGAATCCTCATCCACAATGGGCTAAGCTTAAGGATGAGTACCAAGGAAAGTTTGATATCGTGGCAAGTGATATTTATTCTGAGCTTTGTAGTAAAATCCAGATCGCTGAACCGAATCTTCACAGATTGAGGCTACGGGATCACAGGCGATTGCTACTGACTCCATTAATTTTGTCCGTCGTGGTGGAAGTCTTCTGATCTATGGGGTGTATTCCAATGCAGATCGCGTCCAGTGGTCACCAGCAAAGATATTTCAAGACGAGATAACTGTATGTTTACTGACTACGCTGCATGGGACACATAATCAGTTTCAGGGTTGCTTAGTCTAATAGTTGTCTATGATACTGACAAGGTCTCTTTTTATGCCAGGTTATTGGTTCATTCGCCCAGACACACTGCTTCCCTCGCGCTGTGGCATACCTCGATAGCGGGAAAATCAAAGTAAAAGGCATGGTGAGTTCTCATGATTCTATTTCCCCCTGCTCAATCTCCTTCACATGCTCTTAAGTTCTTCTTCTAAGTGCCTCCTCAATGATTCAGATACGGCGTTTGCTCATCTCGATTGTTTAACCCACACAGGTAACAGACATCTTCTTTATTAAAGATTTTGAGAAAGCACTAGAGAAGCTTAGGAGTAAGACTGCGTGTAAAATAGCTCTACGTCCGTAAAGGTGCTATGGAACCTGTGTGTATTACCAATAACTACCTTTCGAAAACCAAATTTTCTAAACTGCGGACTGTTCCCGATAGCATAAGTTTTATACACCAATATTTCACCACCCTATTCCCTTTATGAGAAGTGAATTTCTCAAGAGGCGCTTCTGACTCTTCGTGTCACTAAACCTTATGTTTAATGATAAGCTCAATCATGATGGAAGCAGGTCAGGTTAAACTCTCCGCCCAGTCTACATTGGGAGATTGGCATTAACCGATTCTACACTTAAACTCCAAATAACGCCTTCATCATAATAAAAGGCGCCTAGGATCTCGCTAAGTTCGACCGAAGTAAACCAGAATAGGGCCGGTGGACCAAAGATGCGCTACTCTGGTCACTGCAGTATTTTTGTGCAAATGAAAGAACCACGATGCAGAATAAGATCAGCCAAGCTCACGCTTGGAGATGCAATGACCAGTATACAGTTAGTAATGAAGGGATGAAAACAAGCTCGTATTATTGTGCCATCGTCACAACCGCCTAAAGGTATTTTTGCTTCCGCTCCTAATCCCTTGCCGTCTTCGTTCCCGACCATGCCTTTCGGGCTCAGCTGCCTCCAGTACTTGATCTCCTTTCTCTAGACCAGCTCCAAATCTCTCTACTCCTTTCCGTCTAGGCGCATCTCTTGACTTTCGTGATTGTAATATTTCCTCATTGGATTGATTTTCACCCGAGGGCACCCAACTAATCTCCATTGGAGTAGAATCTTTGTCCAACGGTCTATTTGTCTTCTTCATGCTACCAAGCTTGCCATGGCTGGGGGCGCGGCGTTGGCCGAAGGTTGTGTTTGAATCCGATGAATGACCCAATGGACCACCTGTCCGTGGACGCATAGGAACCATGGCCACTCTTGGTGTTCTGACATTCCGAGTAGAGCTTTGAGAATGAGGCTTCTTCAAATCGACACCATCGAAGCGACTAGGTTCTATTGAGGAAGAACCGAATCAGATCAGAACAATCTATTCCACCACATGAGTTGGGAAACTTACCTCCTTCCTTGCTACTATCACTGTCAGCGTCACTACTTTCGTCATCTTCATCTGAACTACCAGTCTCACTGTGACCACCCAAACCGGAAGAGTACTTGTCTTCTTCTTCTTCCTCTTCAACGGCCGTTTTGGTGTGTCGTGGACCAATACGATCCTTCTGTGCCACCGACGAAGGATTGAGAAGTGTGAACTCTCTGGATGTTTCGTCAATCAAGTAGGCGGGATCAGCGAAGACCTTCGCAAAACGGGGGTCAGAGAGCAGATTGGACACGGATTTTGTGGGGCCTTCCATTGAAGGCGTGTTGTCTACTTCTTCTACATCCATCGCGCGCACCAGGTCTAAGTCCTTCAAACTGGCCTTTTCTTTCTGCCGCTCTCTACGTTCCGCTTTCTTTGCCTTGCGCTCTTCTTCTTTTAAGACCTTGGCAGCCAGAGATTTGTTGACTTTGACACCGCCCAGCGCATCCTTCTTCGCTCGTATTCTCGTCTCAGCCATTTTCTCCATTTTCTCTCGAACCACCTTCTCCCGATATTCATCGTAGGCAAATGGATTAGCAACAATCCGTGCAGTTTCGTAGAGTTTGAGGGCAAGGAAGTAACCATGCATGTAAGGTTTGAGAGCGGGAGTGCCGATAAGGTGGTCGAGACCAAGCCTAAGAAAAAGAATTTAAGTACCCGTGTGGGTGAGGCATGCGAAACAGGACATACGATTTGAGTTCGCTTCGTTCCACAAACTTGTAGTCTTCGTATACAGTTCGCGTAGTTTGATCTTCCATCTCTTCGGTAATATTTTCGAGGAAGCTTGCCCATCGAGGAGCCGGCCCAAGTTGAGGGATATAATGGGTAGCCATTTGAATACCCTCATTCGCTGTTATGATGAGACCACTTCCCGGAACGTGATGCACATCGTTCAGATCCGTGGCAGGTGTGATTGAAACAAAATTAGCAGCTGGCTTGAATTAAGTCAGCGAGATGTCAATTTGACCATGAAGGTAAAGACATACTGTATTCCTGTCCCAAATCTTAATCACTTTCTTATCCGCACTGACCACCATTCCATCACCAGCCATTCGGTCCCCTCCTTCGATCCAGGAAAGAGACTTAATAGGCAAGCCATAACCTTGATCCTTTACAGAAAATGGTTTCGCCGCACGAATGTCATACAACAAAGTGTGGCCCGTTGAAGTGCCAATTGCATAAGATAGACCGTCGACTCTCGAAGCAATAGCCGTTACACTGAGAGTCTGGTCCATGGCGCCGATTGGCGTGATTCCACTCCTGGGTAGCTTCAGCGTCCCAACGGCAGAGCGAGATCGAGGATCCCATAGCTGAGTTGTTCCATTGCCGTCAACACCAAACGCAAGTAGTTGGTGTACAGCGTTAATATCAACAACGTTGACACCGATAATGCCTTCCTGGTCGTTTGTTGTTTGAAGTTCCAAAGGCCTCATGAATCTTCCTTGCTCAAGATTAAGACGGTACACCTCGTTACCAGTGGCAGCCACATAGACATCACAGGAAGGAAAGTGATAGGCAAGAGAACGACCAAAACGAGGTATTCGCGTCCGATAGTGGAAGCCCCCCTGCGTATGGAGTTCAAGCGTACGGTCGTTTTGTAGATGGACGCTTTTGGTCCAGTCATCGGATAAAGTCTAGAGTAGATGCTATTCATCTCACGGACTTTCCATGATATTATCGACAGGAACTCACGTACAACAAAATCAACATTCTCTGCATCTGAGTGCCTTTCAAACTTTAGAGACAGTTGATCCAGGTCCCAGACCCTCATCTGAGGCTTGTACGTTCCAGTGGCGATGATATGATGTCCATCTCTGGTCGTCTTCACTTTGTTACTGGCTTCCGGGAATTCGAAGCCTTGGATGAGCTCAATGGCCCCTTCAACATGCTCTTTGCGAGCTCTTTTGCTCTTGCCTTTGGCTTCGCGCTTGCGA